CTCAAACAGAGCAGCCTCCACGCCTAACCTCAGTCCACCCGAGCAGCCTCACGCAGTCACCACAGCACAACAACACAATAACACCACAGACCATACCACAGCCACGACAGACCACATAACACACACAACCGCACCACCACCCACACGCCGCCGTCAACTCCTGGTTCCCCCTACAATCTGCACGGTATGTCATACCAGGCTATTCCGTAATGTGACATCAAACAAGTGCAACACCTGCCTTGGCTGGTGCCACTTTAGGGCATGCTCAGGTCTGCGTACCACGCGAGATTGGACTGGGAACTTCGAGGGCCCGTGTTGCGCTGCTCGGTCGCAGACCTCAACTTCGACGCCTCCCGCCACCACCACAGGGCGGCAACCATCACAGCAACGCACACACCCAATGGCGGTAAGAACACACACATCCCTTACACCCCACATCACAACACGTCTCCCGAACCATATGAAGCTCCTTCAATTTAACTGCAACGGGCTACAGAGCGAGATTGAGGAGATAACCGTCTTCATGTGTCGGCATGGTATATTGATAGCTGCGGTCCAAGAGACGAAGTTGCACAGCAATTCAACTTTATTGAATTGTGCCGGGTACAACGTGCACCGTCAAGATCGCGAGCGAGATAATGGTGGTGGCTTAGCGTTCATCACGCACCACACCGTGCAGTATCGTCTTATCGAAGCAGACATCGACCGCAGGGATACCACCCTAGAATGTCAGGGCATTGCTATCCGGTCAGGCGATGTTGAGCTTGAAATATTTAACATATACATACCCCCTGTCACCTGCTGCCCGGCAGGATATCACCCTGATATAGGTGCGCTCCTCAGAGGTGAAAACCGTATGGTAGTAGGTGACTTCAATGCGCACCACTATCTTTGGCACTCAAGCCTGTCAAACGATCGTTGGGGAACAGACTTGGCTGAGCAGATAGACGATTCGACATTCTGCACAATGAACGACGACGCACCCACCAGGATTATGGGTATCTGCAGTAGCTCGCCAGACATCACCATAGTGAGCGCTGGTCTGATATACAGCATAACATGGCGATCTATGCTGACTTTAGCATCAGACCACCTACCCGTAGTCATCTCGATAGATAAACCAACCGACTTTGCCTCCGCCAAACACCGGACCTATATCAACTTTTCTAAAGCTGATTGGAAAGGTTACGCGGAGTTTATCGAAAACACCTTCACAGCGCTTCCCACATCAACCGACGTTCATCTCGGTGAACGTAAGTTCCGCAGGGCTGTCACTGCTGCTGCAGCTCGCTTCATACCGGCAGGATGTATCACGGACCCACGTCCAAACTTCCCTGCCAAAGCGGCTGTTCTACCCGATGAGCGTGATAGCCTTCGTCAGGCCGATCCCGGAGATCCCCGTATCAGGGATCTCAACGCGGAGATTCGGCAACTAGTAAACGTACATAAGCGAAAGAGTTGGGAGGAGCATCTTAAGACCTGTAACTTCACCTCTGGTGTGAGCAAGCTTTGGTCAACCGTAAGGTCACTGTCCAATCCGACGAAGCACGACGACAGAGTCAAAATTTCCTTCGGCGACCATGCTTCGTCGGACCCGGAGCGATGCGCGAGCTATTTTAGCCAGCAGTTCATACTGCATCCTCCGGTGGACAAAACCAAGCGTCGAGTGACCAGAAGGCTGCACAAACTGCCAACAACCTGTGCCCCCCTTGGTATCACTTGCGGTGAAGTTCAGGTGGCCATCGGGAAGCCTCCAAAGCCATGGGTCGCGACGAAATATGCATGCTGATGCTGAACAATTTTGGTCCTGCGGGGGTAGCGTACCTAACGGAGGTCCTCAATTTGTCTATGGCCACTCTCATCATCCCAGACATCTGGAAGGTGGGGAGAGTGGTCCCACTGCTCAAACCGGGAAACCTGCGAACAAAGGAGATTCTTATCATCGGATGACACTCCTTTCCCCGGTAGCGAAGACACTCGAGGCCTTGCTACTCCCGTATTTCACGAACCACTTGACCCCAGCGAAGAATCAGCATGGTTTCCGTAAAGCGCACAGTACAACAACAGCACTTAACGCCATAAACACTCAGATAACTCGTGGGATTAACCGAAA